GATCTCTTGTAGAAGGCCATGCTTTCTGCTTTGACTGGAAAAGCAGGTGTTGTTGGCCGTGGGAAGTCACGTACCAAAAAGTAGCTGGGAGAGTAGCTGGCATGAGAAAATAGCTGTGGGACGCTTGCCCAATTAAACTGTGTGTGATACATTCACCAGCACTTTCCAGTCTGCAGTCTGAAACCGTCTCTTGTCTGTGCGTCCTTTTTTCTTCCGGGACTGCAGCCAATTCTGTCTGTCCACATCTTATGTATATGTTCTGTGTATGTCATCCCCCGTTTTGTAATCGGGCACGACAGTGACGGGGTTTAAGGGCCCGCTGAGGATTTGCACACGCACAGGCCGCAGGGACGGTGCTGATGAGGGAGTGCGGGGAGGGGGAGGGAAAAGAGGCTGGAGGAAATGTGTTGGCCCTTTGGCGCCAATATGTAGGCAGCCGTCACTGATGTCTGGAGCCTGCACTTCGGGGAGGGCGAATTTACTGAGGACCGCGATCCATCCCTCAGAAGTGCTGGACCCGCCCCGGGTGAGGAGCGCTTCCCGTTCGCCTGACGCGCAGCGCGCTTGCAGGGAGGAATAGAGCGGAAAAGAGCGGGCGCAGGGGGGTCACCAAGGCCAGCGTCCGGCGACAGCGTCGGCCCTGTGGTTTCCCTCTGCACGGACAGAGCCCTCCGTCTGGTGTCCTCTGCAGTGGCCGGGGAGCCGTGAGGGACGCAGGACAGCGTGGAGAGGCGAGCAGCCAGAGAGGCGGTAGCGACGGGGCAGCCCTTGGTGATAAAAGCCACGCTCAGGCCACACGGCGGCACGACAGTGAGCCACCAGGAAGGCGCATAAGAGTCTGTGTCCGCGTGCACAGTCTTGCCTTTGGCCAGATGTAAGGCTCGTGCGAGGGCCGCGAGCTCAGCCCTCTGGGAAGCGGTGCCCACAGGGAGCCCGCGGCCTGCAGCGGGAGGTGGGGACGGTGGTGTGGGGCGCGGCGCCTGCCATCAGCCCGGGTGGAGCTGCCGTCCACACAGGGCGAGCTCGGCGTGGGTGGGGCTGGTCCCACAGGCCCGCCCTGGGGGCCGCGGAGGCCTCCGTCATTCCTGAGCAGCTGTGTGAGGCCAGCGTTACATGGGGACAGCAAGTAGGGTGGCCGGGTTGAGGGTAGGAGACCGAGATAGAGACATAGAGGTGTTTTCAACAAAGGATGGAATGCTTCTATACTGGAAGGGCTGAGAGGAGCTACAGAGCGGTGGGTGAGAAGATCCTGTAAATGGTGGGTGAAGACTTGTAGATCTTGACTTAGGGTGAGTTTAAGGGCCTCCCAAGTGAGGGGGGCCCCCGGAGGCCAGTGCCCTAAGGCAGGGTGGCCCACTGCAGACAGGGGTATCTAGCTGTTTGGAGAGCTAGGTCACAGAGGCCTGAGCAGAGTCAACGGCTTGGGTAAGTGCTCCCAGGGCAATGCTTTGGCGCTCCTCAGTATATAGGGTGAAGTGTTTGTCTGGATTATGGGGATTTATTTACTGTGGGAGACTGAAGCAGGCGCCTGGTCCTTATGGCGAAGCATCTCTTCCTTGGGCTCAAGGTTTTAATGGACAGAGACCGTGGAATGCACAAATTGGGTCAGGACCTCAAAGGCAGAGGGACTAACCCAGGCCAATTAGCAGACTGGCATCTGGTTGAGGTCCTGGTCTGAAGACAGAGAAGCACAAGATAGGACAGAGTGGCCAACGCCCCAAGGTGGGTCAGCACAGCCAAGACACTACTCTCGAGTTTTGGCACCAAATGTAAGGTGTTTTGGGGAGAAAGGAAAAGGCAGACAGAATGGGGCCAAACAACGTGGCTTTATGGAGTGCTCTGGGGCTAGGTTCACTGGTCTCAAGGAATGAGGCCAGAGAAATCGCACCCATTTGGATGGGATTGGGGCCTTTGATGCTACCTGAGGCAGGTATAGAGAAATAGGGACAGGCTGGTGGTATTTGCAGCATCCAGGATGTGAAACCAAAAAATTCCTTATCTGGGTGAACATACAGGTATGGTTCTTTAACTCAGCAGGGCTGGTGACTTATTTTTGATGGGTCTTGTGGGCTTCTTTTCTTTAGCAAGTGGAGGGGTGCCTGCTACCAGTTTTACAGTGGGGACTTGTGTGAGTTCAGTTACCTTAAATATGAGAACCAAACAGATCCAAACTGCCTGGTTGAGAGTTTCCACGGGTCCTCAGAACACTAAGGGTCCCATGGACTGGACAGGGAATTTTGAGGAGGCTAAAGTACCTCCCTCTTGGGTGCTCATACGCCATGTGGACTTGTGATTAATCCCTGTTCTGGAAATACCTCTCAGAATATTACTTTACTGTTCCTTGTGTAAGAGTACATACTAGGATAAATTCTGACCTTAGATGAAAAACCTTGATTTATCACACAAATCACAAGCTGTGAAGCCCATCTCCTGGAAGGTCCACTTTAACTGTGCTGCACATTAACAGGTATACCCTTTTTCTTTTTTTTTTTTTTTTTTTGAGACAGAGTCTCACTTTGTTGCCTAGGCTAGAGTGAGTGCCGTGGCGTCAGCCTAGCTCACAGCAACCTCAAACTCCTGGGCTCAAGCGATCCTTCTGTCTCAGCCTCCCAAGTAGCTGGGACTACAGGCATGCGCCACCATGCCCGGCTAATTTTTTCTATATATATTAGTTGGCCAATTAGTTTCTTTCTATTTATAGTAGAGACGGGGTCTCGCTCTTGCTCAGGCTGGTTTTGAACTCCCGACCTCGAGCAATCCGCCCGCCTCGGCCTCCCAGAGAGCTAGGATTACAGGCGTGAGCCACCGCGCCCGGCCTATACCCTTTTTCTAAATGGTATATAGGCCCCATAACTGGGGTGCAACAGCATGGAGACGCACCTGTGTTGTTGCCACCCATGACTATGCACCTAAATTCACCAATCAGTCACCCTCTAGTGACAAATTGGATTTGTCTGTCTCCTTCTTTGGTTTCTTGGCTCCTTCTGCATTTGGGCCTCACTTTGCATGTATGGACATTTTACAAAACAAGTGGCAAGATAGCCAGTACCAGTCCATTAACCAAAGTATGGGCAAGAGGAAGAAATTACGGGAGTGGAAATTCTTGGGCGTTACTTCTGATCTATTTGGGGTGTGGTGCCCATTTGTGACACGCATGTGGACTGAGTGAGTACAGGAATGCCCCTAACCTGTAAGGACTAGAGAACTCATTAGGAGAGAACCACATTACACCCTGGAGTGATGAAAATCAACATGAGGCATTAACAGTGGACTGGCCATTACTAGGAGCTTTGCCAGTAGTTTCAGAAGAGAGATATCAGCTCAGATAAAGGTGCAAAAGCTAGATGAAGAATTACAGTTAGAAAAGTATATGAAAACCTCCACATTTGTGTCAGCAGTTAGCTTTGTGGATAAGTTTGAAACTCAGAAGATGCAGTTGGAAACTCAATTCTGGTGTTTTGTGCAGCTTGAAGGGTGGAAAACGCACCAGGCTAAAGTGTGAGCCTGTGAGAATCCACATATGTTCAAGAATTTGAAGGACCAGAAAATCAAATAGTTGCTCCAAGTGAAGACGCGGCAAGTTAAAAAGACAAAATTTGTATGGGGAGAGTCTGCACCCTAGAAACATGACATTTGCAAGAAATAAACTTAACCTAGAAACTAAGTTTGCTTTGAGAAATTGTAAGGTCTAGTTTGCTTGTAAATTATGAAATCATGTGAACTTATCTGTTTGATCTACTTCCCATTTTCTTCTATAGATAGGCACACACATGTGTTTCTTCCTCTATAGTTCTTACACAGAGTTTATTTTTAGCTTAATATATTGTATATTGCATTAAATGTAAATCGAAACAAAACATCTCTATATGTTCAGTTGTACCAGAAAAGGAAATGTACAAAGACAAATTCTGGATGAAAATTTACGAATAATGATTTAGGACTTAAAGGTATGGAATTGAATTATACTCCCATATAATCTTTATTCTAAGCATATCAAGAAACCTTTAACTACAAATAAAAGGGACACAATATAGTAACTATGAGAATATTCGGAAATTACTGAAAGTTTTATTCCTCAGAATACTGCGATTAGTAGAACTTATTCCATTGTGTTGCCCCAATACTACATTATTTTAATTTGTTAATTGTAGACAAGAAAAGATACGGTCAGGTGCAGTGGCTCACACCTGTAATCCTAGCAGTCTGGGAGGCCGAGGCGGGTAGACTGCTCAAGGTCAGGAGTTCGAAACCAGCCTGACTGAGACACAGTCACTACTAAAAATAGAAAGAAACTAATTGACCAACTAAAAATATATATACAAAAAATTAGCCGGGCATGGTGGCACATGGCTGTAGTCCCAGCTACTCGGGAGGCTGAGGCAGTAGGATCGATTGAGCCCAGGAGATTGAGGTTGCTGTGAGTTAGGCTGATGCCATGGGACTCACTCTAGCCTGAGCAATAAAGTGAGACACTGTAAAAAAATAAAAAAGAAAAAGAAAAAAAGATAGTTTCACGTTTGTGGCAGAGTAGCATTTTATTCATTGCACATCAATGTTAAACTATTAAGAACAATTGAATGAAAAAAAAAGAACACTTGGATATTATTAATCAAAACAAATTAACATATTGCCTAAAGCATTTTAAAATTCACTAGTTGTTCCTTGGTCACAAGCACACGAGAAACATTATTTTTTTTCTAATATAGTGATGTTACTGTTATACTTTCTTTTAAGTTTCTTGTTTTAATTTTTGGGTTTTTTTTTTTTTTTAAGACATATTCTTGCTTTGTTGCCCAGGCTAGAGTGAGTGTCGTGGTATCAGTCTAGAACACAGCAACCTCAAACTCCTGGGCTCAAGCAATCCTTCTGCCTCAGCCTCCCCAGTAGCTGGGACTACAGGCATGCAGCACCATGCCTGGGTAAATTTTTCTATATATATTAGTTGGCCAATTAATTTCTTTCTATTTATAGTAGAGACAGGGTCTCGCTCTTGGTGAGGTTGGTGTCAAACTTTTGACCTCGAGCAATCCGCATGCCTTGGCCTCCCAGAGTGGTAGGATTCAGGCGTGAGCCCCGGCGCCCAGCCAACTTTATTTAAAGTTCGATGCCAATTACTTAGTACACATCGAATTGAGCACATATACAGCGTCTCAGATAGGAGACATCTTCACGTTTTAAAATATCTCTGAAGATGTTTTTATTTCTATTACATCAAATACCATTCAAGATTTCCATGTCTCTTATCACATCAAATAATATTCAAGACTTCTATTTTATTGTACTATGAAGATACGTCAGTATTTTAACGACCTGGCCAGATTTTTCATACTTAAGAAGCAATTGGTAACTTAATTTCTTTTGAAAGTTTGGTTTCCTTTAGTTTTTAACCACCGATAATTTGAAAACTTATAGTTTGTTAGTTTAATACAGTATAAAACTCCTGATTACATAGTGTGTATTTACATGGATTATTGTTTTATGATTCAAACACACAAAAAACCTCTTTAGATTTTCTTAATGTACTTTACATTTGCCATTAAACATTTATGGAAAATTGGTGTTAATAAAATTAGCCTAATATTGAATAGCCTCTCACAACTCTGATGTAGAAACAACAGAATACATATTTTATATAGACATTAAGAATGAAAGGATAACATAAACTGATTTGAAAACTGAACTACATCAATATTTGCTTTTGAAAAATTTCAAATATGATCAATGCAAGTTACCCATTGATTATAACTATACCTGTCCAAACATGAATGTTCCTGTTCTTTTGAACAACATGAGCAGATAAATTATCTAACTGCTTCAACTTCACATTCTCTACAATACTGTGAGTTAGTGTAAAATCTCAAAGTGTGCTTTAGTTTTTACCTGTGTGAATCCACTGAGGTAGTTAGATGTAAATTTTGATTAAATACTTCTACACATTTATTGCACCTGTAAAATTTCTTTTCCTATGGACACTCTGGTAAATTCTAATTTGTGTATTTAGATTAAAATTCTTCTCACATGTATTATATCTACACAGTTTGGTGTTATGAATTCTCTGATGTTGAGTAAGGTATGATTTACACTTAAATGCTTTGCCACATTCTTCGCATTTTTAGGATTTTTCTCTAGTATGAATTCTCTGATGTTAAGTAGTGAACTACGGGTAAAGGATTTACCAGATTAATTACATTTGTAGGGTTTCTCTACAGTGTGAATTCTGTGATGTCTTCTAAGAGGTGAAAGATTAGTAAACGCTTGGCCACATTCTTTGCATTTGCAAGGCTTCTTTCCAGTATGAATTACCTCATGTCATCTAAGGCCTCCTGACTGAGAAAAGGCTTTTCCACATTCCTCACATTTGTAGGGTTTTTCTCCAGTATGAATTCCCTCATGTTAAGTAAGGTATGCACTACATCTAAAGGATTTACCATATTCATTATATTTGTAGAGTTTCTCTCCACTGTGAATCATCTGATGTTGCCTAAGACTTGAAGCCCGAGTAAACGCTTTGCCACATTCTATGCATTTGTAGGGCTTGTCTCCAGTATGAACTGCCTGATGTATTCTAAGGTTTGTCGCCCATGTAAAGGCTTTGCTACATTCTTTACATTTGTAGGGTTTTTCTCCAGTATGAATTCCCTGATGTTGAGTAAGGTATGCACTACATCTAAAGGATTTACCACATTCATTACATTTGTAGGGTTTCTCTCCACTGTGAATCATCTGATGTTGCCTAAGACTTGAAGCCTGAGTAAAGGCTTTGCCACATTCTATGCATTTGTAGGGCTTGTCTACAGTATGAACTGCCTGGTGTATTCTAAGGTTTGCCGACCATGTAAAGGCTTTTCCACATTCTTTACATGTGTAGGGTTTCTCTCCGGTATGAATTCTCTGATGTTGAGTAAAGTGTGAAATCTGTCTAAAGGATTTACCACATTCATTACATTTGTAAGGTTTCTCTCCACTGTGAATCATCTGATGTTGCCTAAGATGTGAAACCTGAATAAACGCTTTGCCACATTCTTTGCATTTGTAGGGCATCTTTCCAGTATGAACTGCCTGATGTCTTCTAAGGCTTCCTAACGATTGAAAGGCTTTGCCACATTCCTTACATTTGTAGGGTTTTTCTCCAGTATGAGTTCTCTGATGTTCAGTAAGTTGGGAACTCTGAGTAAAGGATTTATCACATTCTTTACATTTGTACGGTTTCTCTCCAGTATGAATTACCAAATGTCTTCTAAGGCTTGCTGACAAGGTAAAGGCTTTGCCACATTCTTCACATTTCTGGAGATTTTCTCCAGTATGAATTTTTTGATACAGTCTAAGACTTGCAAACCCAGTAAAGGCTTTGGCGAATTCTTTATATTTGTAAGTTTTCTCTCCAGTATGAATTTTCTGATGCATTGTAAGACTTGAAAACCGAGTAAAGGCTTTGCCACATTCTTTACATTTGTAAGGTTTCTCTCCAGTATGAATTGTCTGATGAATTCTAAGACTTGAAATCCGAGTAAAGGCTTTGCTGCATTCTTTACATTTGTAAGGTTTCACTCCAGTATGAATTTTCTCATGGCTAGTAAGTCGTGAACGATAGTTGAAGGACTTACCACAATTTTTACATTTGTGGGGTTTTAATTCCGTATGAACCACCTGATGTATCCCAAGGCTTGCTGAGTTGGTGTAAGCTTTGCCACATTCTTCTGATTTGTAGGACTGTTCTATAGTATGGATTATTTGGTGTTCCTGAAGAACTGAAAACTCAGTAAAGGCTTTGCCACATTCTTTACATCTGTAGGGTTTCTCTCCAGTATGAATTACCTGATGTTTTCTAAGGCTTGCTGACACATTAAAGGCTTTGCCACATTCTTCACATTTGTACGGTTTTTCCCCAGTATGAATTTTCTCATGCCGTCTAAGACTTGAATTCTGAGCAAAGGCTTTGCCACATTCTTTACATTTGTAGGGCTTTGCTCCAGTATGGACTGCTTGATGTTTTCTAAGGCTTGTTGACTGGTTAAAGGCTTTGCCACATTCTTCACATTTGTATGGTTTTTCTCCAGTATGAATTTTCTGATGTCGTCTAAGACTTGAATTCTGAGCAAAGACTTTGCCGCATTCTTTACATTTGTAAGGTTTCTCTCCAGTATGTATTGTCTCATGGATAGGAAGGTCTGAATGACAGTTGAAGGAATTATCACAATTTTTACACTTGTGGGGTTTTTCTTCCGTATGAACCACCTGATGTATCCCAAGGTTTGAGGAGTGGGTAAAAACTGTGCCACATTCTTTCGATTTGTAAGACTGTTCTCTAGTATGCATTATTTGGTGTTCCTGAAGAACTGAAAACTGAGGAAAGGCTTTGCCACATTCTTTACATTTGTAGGATTTCTCCTCAGTACAACTTTTGTCATATTTAAGCTGTGGACTCTGGCTTATGGTTTTGCCATATTCTTTAGATTTGTAGAGGTTTTCTTCAGTATCAATTGTATTTTGTGTTCTTACATTGGATGACTGATTAAAGACTTTCACACCTTTATAATGTCTGTATGAATTTTCTCCAAAACCAATTCCCTGATTTTGAGAATGTTTTCCTGACTGGGCAAAAGCTTCTACACGTTCATTACATTTGTAGGAATAGTCCTGAATATGGGTATCCTCATGGCTAATAACCTTGAAACGTTGGTGACAGACTTTCTCATATTTATTAGATTTGTACTGGATCTCTGAACATTGAGCTTTCTTATATTTACTAGAGAATGAGACTTGGTTCATGGTTTCTTCAGGTTTACTGCTTTGATATGTTCTCTTGTCAACATGCATACCCTGGTAATTATTTAAAGTAGAGTTCTGGATAAAGGACATCAAAGTTTTACTAGATATGTCATGTTTTTTCGAATTATCTATTCCCTGAGATTGATTAATGAATGATGACTGGGTAAATACCTTACCATACTGATCATAGTTGTTGGTTTTCGTATGTAATGGTACTATTGGTTTGTGAAAGAATACAGTTTTAATGAAGGGCTCATCAACTTGGTCAGATTCAGAAATATTCTCTTGAATTCCAAATCTCTGGTCTTCAGAAATATTTGACTGAACACTTAATGCAATCCTATATCCAAAGTCCTGAGTCTCTCCAGGGCTTTCAAAAGACTGGTTATTATTTCCGTTAATATGTAGTCCTAAAAAGAAATGCAGATATAGTGTAAATAACATGCTGAGTTCACTGAGAACAAAAATGAATACCTACTACAGCAACAGAAAGACTGCAGAACATACAGAATTCATCATGGAACGTTAAGCTTAAGGCCTTTTAACAGGAAATAGGCAAAGCTCTTTAGTGGCAAAATATACACAATACTTCAGATAAAACACATACTGCCAACAGTTTGGACAAGTATCCAAAATGTCTAGTGTGGCTGGATGGTTGTACATTTCCCCTGAGCAAAGCCATTATCTAAAGGATGGAAGAGGTAGCTGTTTTTAGGTGACCAAAATCTTACCAAAAGTGAAAAGACATCAAAGAAACTTAGAAATGTAATCCAATGAAAGGACAAAAATATTTAAGTGATCCTAATGAAGTGATGATATATGAAGTAATTCTTCAAGGATTTCAAATATCTGTCTTAACGTGCTCTGCCAGCTAAATGACAACACAACAACTAAATAAGTTGTGGAAAATAATGCATAAGGAAAATGAGACTATTAACAAAGAGATTAAAATAAAAAAACTAAAACATAGTATGGAGCTGAGCAATGAAAATCAAATTTAAATATTCACTAGACAGGGTTAACAGCAGACTTCATAAAAGTCCATTGGAAATTATAGTCAAGAGAATAAAATTAAAAAAGAAGAAAAAGTAACAGAGCCTAAATCATCAAGTATGCCAAAATGTTTATAATTTAAGTCCTGTAATAGAGAAAAGAGAAAAATAAGCATGGAGCAAACCTGAAGAAACAATGTTGGAGAACTTTCTAAGGTTGAGGGAGAAAACAGCATAAAATTTAAAGAGCTCAACCTACGCCAGCCAGGTACAACACAAAGAGAGCCAAAACAAGACACATTGTCATCAAACATTTAAAAGTTAGAAAGAAAATCTTGAAATCAGCACGAAAAATATGACTTGGTATGTATAAGGGTACTCATATAGAATGATCAACAGATTTTTTAGTAAAAAAAAAAAAAATTGCACAATTTATACCCAAGAGCTTTACCCTAAATGAATTGCTAAAGAGTCAATTTTTTACATTTTAAACTAAAATATTAGCCACACATAGTTATGGGAATATATAAAGTTCTATGGTGAATGTAATGATAGGCATATATATAGTATTCTGTGTTATTATAATGACAGTGAATAAAACACTTTAAATTCTGCTATAGATTTTTTAACAAGCCATAAGACAACGATAAATTCATTAAGGGATACAAAATAGAAGAGAATATAATTTGTGACATCAACAGAATGCAATGTAGAAAGGCAGGGACTTTGTATATAATGAAAGTTTTCAGCTTAAAGTAGTTTGTTATAATTTTCAGATGTTTTCTGTAATATATATGGTAACCACCAAGAAAATATCCTTAGTAGATTCATAACTCAATTCCTGGGTTTAAAAAAGAAAAAAAATTGGCTGGGGCATGGCTGCTCACGCTTGTAATCCTAGCACTCTGGGAGGTCGGGGAGGGCTCATTGCCCCAGGTTAGGAGTTCAAAACCAGCCTGGACAAGAGCGAGACCCCCGTCTCTACTATAAATAGAAAGAAATTAATTGGCCAACTAATATACATATAGAAAAAATTAACCAGGTATGGTGGCGCATGCCTGTAGTCTCAGCTACTTGGGAGTCTGAGGCAGCAGGATTGCTTGAGCCCAGTAGTTTGATTTTGCTTTGAGGTAGGCTGATGCCATGGCACTCACTGTAGCCTGGGCAACAAAGTGAGACTCTGTCTCAAAAAAAAAAAAAAGAAAAGAAAAGAAAAGAAAGCTGCCTGAGCAAGAGCAAGACCTCATCTCTACAAAACATGCAAAGAAATTTATTGGATAACTCAAAATATATACAAAAAAAATTAGTGTGGTATGGTGGAGCATGTGTGTAGTCCCAGCTACCAAGGAGGCCTAGATAGAAGGATTGCTGGAGCCCAGGTGTTTGAGGTTGCTGTGAGCTAGGCTGATGTCATGGCACTCTAGCCCAGACAACAGAGTGAGACTCTTGTCTCAAAAAAACAAAAAAACCTGTAATTAGGAAAGTATAGTAGATACAGAAAAGGAAATGAGAAAAAAAAAAAAGTCACTCCAAAAAAACCCGAAAAATCACAAGACAACGAAAGAAAACAACAAAAGAGCTATAAGACCTACAAAACCAAAATGCCAGTCATTCCCTTTTAGTATTTATTTTACATAAAAAAATTGGTGAATCTAAACACATATTTTCTCTGAATAAATTAATGAAATAAGATCTACCTTTATGTTTTCTATAAAAGCCCCACTCTAAATGTAAGGAAACACATGGACTGCATGTTAGTAAAAGAATTAAAAAATGTTATTCAATGCAATGTCAAAATATATTTTACATCAAAAATTGTCACAAGAGACAACAAAGGGGATTATATAATGATAAGACTCCACTGATCAGGAAGCTAGCAGAAATAATATACATGAACCCACAAGTATAAACATATATGCACCTACCATAACACCTCTCACATATATGAAGCAACCTTTTACACAACTGAAGGAAGAATCCAATAGCAGCACAATAATAGTACGATAATTTGATATTACATTTAATAATCAAAAGAGATAAAAGACAAAAATGAAACAGAAGACTTGAACAACACTACAAATCAATTATAGCGAAAAGTCCTACTCTGAACTGTCCACACAACAGAACACATATTATTCTTAAGCAAACATGGCATATTATACCAGAGACAACCTTAATGCCACAAAACAAGTCTCAACAAATCTAAGTACATAAAACTCACATTAAGTATTATTTATGACTAAATTAGAATAAAACTAGTAGTAAAAATCAAAAGGATAGTGATATGTCCACAACATATATGAACATCCCCCGAAAATAAGACCTAAGGTGTCTTCTTGAGGAAAAATAAATATAAAACACTGTCTTATTTTCAGGGAAACACAGTAGTTGTCTGGCTTATTTCTTTCTATTTATAGTAGGGACAGGGTCTTGTTCTTGCTTCGGCTGGTCTTGAACTCCTGAGCTCCAGCAATCCTCCCACCTTGGCCTCCAAAAGTGCTAGGATTATTGGTGTGAGCCACTACACCCAGCCTAAAGGTAACTTTTAATTCTAGTATAAAACCTATAAAATGAGGCCGGGCGCGGTGGCTCATGCCTGTAATCCTAGCTCTTGGGAGGCCGAGGCGGGCGGATTGCTCAAGGTCAGGAGTTCAAAACCAGCCTGAGCAAGAGCGAGACCCGTCTCTACTATAAATAGAAATAAATTAATTGGCCAACTGATATATATAGAAAAAATTAGCCGGGCATGGTGGTGTATGCCTGTAGTCCCAGCTACTGGGGAGGCTCAGGCAGGAGGATCCCTTGAGTCCAGGAGTTTGAGCTTGCTGTGAGCTAGGCGTATGCCCCGGCACTCTAGCCCAGGTGACAGAGGGAGAGTCTGTCTCCAAAAAAAAAAAAAACAAAAAAAAAAACCCACAAAACTGGGACTTTCAGCAAGTGATATGGCCATGATGGCAAAATGGGTAGATTAATAGTTTTTTTTTATATCATAGGAGTATGTTAGTTATAAAAACCACAGGTCTGCGATTTTTTTTTTAAAAAAAAGACCATCACTCTCTGGTATACACATTCTCTCTCCCTCAGTTCTTCAGCCTTCCTTCATGTTATGTTGCAGCAAAAAGACCTTCACCAGAGGCCAATAATATGCTCTTGCCATGCCCATCCTTCAAAATCACGAGCAAAATAAACTCATATTCTTTATAAATTACCCAGTGAGTGGTATTCTGGTATAGTAGCAAAACTGGAATAAAAAAGAGTGGCAGAATTGATTTAAAAAATAAAAAAAACACCAAGGCTGGGAACGGTGGATATCGCCTGTAATCCTAGCACTCTCGGAGACAGAGGAGGGAGGATTGCTTGAGCGTAAGACTTCCAGACCGGGCTGAACAAGGGCGAGACCCTGTCTCTACTATAAATGGAAAGAAATTAGCCAAACAACTAAAAATAGAAAAAATTAGTCAGGCATGGTGGCATGTGCCTGTAGTCCCAGCTACCTGGGAGGCTGAGGCAGGAAGATCCCTTTAGCCCAGGAGTTTCAGGTTGCTGTGAGCTAGGGTGACCCCACGGCACTCTAGCCCAAGCAATAGAGTGAGACTCTGTCTTCAGAATCTGTCTGAAATAAAAACAAAAACCAAAATTTAATGTTATGCTGCTGAGAAGAAACTCACTTTTGTTTTAAGGACAAACAGCCTAAAAGTGAAAGGTTGAAAAAGAATATTCCATGCAACTCATAAACAAAAGAATGCAGGGGTGCTTATACTGCACAAAATAGGTTTTTGGAAAACATCTGTCACAAAAGTAAAAATCTTTCAGTATATAATAACAAAGAGGCTAATTAATCAAGAGAATATACAATTAAACATACATACTGTGTTTCCCCGAAAATAAGACAGGGTCTTATATTTATTTTTTCTCAAGAAGACACCCTAGGGCTTATTTTCAGAGTACTTGATTTTTTTATGTATGGTACAATAATCTACATTTATCTAAATATAGTTAAGTCGTCTTCTTCTGGAACATCATCATAACTCTCGAAATCCTGAATTCTATCCTAATTTCTTGCGACTCTATTTCCTTTAGAACCATTGGCCCCAACCTCTCATGTCGAGCAATAGAGCTCTCATTAAATAAGCAGGGTTGGCTTATATATCAGAGATCCAGTGAGCACTGGGTCCAATCTGCACAGTGGAGCAGAAATGATCTCTCTCGGCTCAGTAGGAGACTGCTTGCTGAAGCTTTCCCCCTATCCCCTGGTGTTTGTGGTGGGTGAGAGAGGCCTACAGTGCTGAGTAAAATGGCAGCCACAGCTTTTCTTCTTCCCCCTTGGGACACACAATACTAAAGCGGAGAGTCTGGCTCCTCACTTCACTGAGGAGACTTTCGCCTCAAAACCTCAGTTTACAGCATGCAGAGGATGG